TTGTCCTTGGTGGGACAATTAATGATAGATTTCTCTTACATTCTACTGATACACCGATTCCCTCAACAATGAGTTCATTACTTCCTATCTTCAGGTTCACTGGGAGCCTTATATCTAGTGAGCATATTAATAGATTCGTGTTATAGATTATAAGATAAATTTCATTTTGAATTACTTTTTGTATATCATAATTCTTATTTTTTTTAACACTGTTATTTCTGTTCTTGTTTCTCTCAATATTAGTTCTAAGGATTTTTTTATTTTTTTATATTTTCTTTGTGTTTGTTGTGAGAGGGGGGGGGACTGGAAAGTGGAGATCGAGAATATGTCGTACGAGGATGCCACATTGTTTGGTCCTGGGATCTGCTCTCTCTAGAGACCTCGTTGGAATCAGCATAGTGATATGTCTAAATTACACTTCACAATGAAGTATAAAATGGTTGTTTGTCAAATATAATACCCAACTAGGTTGAGGTCAATCCCACAAGGAATATGACTAGAAACCAGGTCAATGCAATTATTTAAATTTTCATTCTGATTATTTCCAAAGGGGTTTTGTAATAACAATTGATGGTTTATCAATTATTAATTTAAAATGAAGTATGGAAATGGACTAGGACTGTGCTCCCCATGATTTAATTATAACTCAAAAAGTATATCATATTAGTGATCTATTCGAATACTTAGCATGCAAAATAGTAAGTTATGCACATCTAAATGTTTTCAAACCTTAATTAGATGCATGTCACTCTAAATGTGTTCCAAGTCATCTAACTCTTACGGCCATCTTGAATTAACTTTACCTTTCACAACTCAAGCTATTAGATGAGGTTTGTTACTAAACTCTTTTTCTATTCTAGACTGCTCTCGCGAAGGAAGTTGACTTATAATCTCATACCAATCTTTGAGTATCAATCCAAACCTCTTATCCCTCCATGCGCTGGCGATCCTATAACTCTTTCTTTAAGAGAATTATTAACACTCTCAGATACTATATATCTTACCCATTGTTGATCTGTCGCCAATTTTTGGTGTTCCTACCTTTAGATCAGTACTTCTAGCGGGACCGTTTGCCCCTTTCTTATAATGCTTTTGTACCCAGGGACGTTTGACCCCTTTGCTTCTTTTGCCAATGCCTATTATTCATTAATTGTTACTTGCTTAATATCTAGTTATTGCATATCATGATATGCTTTAGTATATTATGTGTCTATGCTCTTGTTATATTTTTCTTTTTTAATGTCAAAGTGGGAAACAAAACTCAGGACTCAGAGTCAACATCAATTTCAACACATATTGAGGAGGAGCTCACGTCAAGGGGCAAGAAACCATACTGGAAAAAAGAAAATTATCTTAATATATCCTCTTTTGATTGTCATTATCAAAAAGGGAAAGATTGTTATCCCATATTCTATTTTAATGATAAATTCGAAATTGTAGGATAAAAATAAAAAAGAAAAGAAAGCACACAGGGAAGGATAAGGATCAATAAAAATTGGTACTCAAATATACAATAAAAGATCATATAAGGTAGGCACATGCATGAAACTAAAAGAATATTGATATGCATGCATACATTAAAGGACAAGGATCAAGAAGAGTAGTACTCAGACACACAAGAAAAATAAAATTAATTAGAAGAACATTAGAAATCATCCACTAAGAAAATCAAGCAGAATGAAGGAAAGTATAGTAGTTGACCGACCATTGCCAGAAATAATCAATTTTACATGAAATATTTATACAGACATTTGCGATACAAGGAATATTTTCAGTCATGCATAATATATCCTGATTGAATGAAAAATAAAATCCTTGGACTATCCTTTACTAGAGAAAATAAAATCTTCAATCAGATTTGACCTCATCATATATCAAAGAAAGTTTCAAACGACAATCAATCTCAGCCTCCATAGATGAACCGTCAATTACCATTTCTTGCATGATCGTTGGTGATGTCGCAGAGTAGCATAGATTGTCTCACAAGTTAATCGTCAAAGGGTTCATATCATGTGATGCATGCATGTGGACTAGATTCATTGATTGGATCATAGTCTTTCTTTGCGGCAGAGTTCTTGGAACTAGAGAGCTAGCTGAGTAAAGTTTGAGTTTTCTTAATCCTTTCGGCCACACAGCACCTTCCTTTTGAAGCATTTGCAGAGGATAAAGAAGATTAGTACTCAAATATACAAGAAAAGATTATCCAATATGGATTCAGAAGAATAATTGGTATGCATGCATATATATATGGAAGAACAAGGATAAAGAAGATTAGTACTCAGACATAAAAAGAAAATCGTCCATTAAGAAAAGTAAGCAGAATGAAGGAAAGTATAGTAGTCGACCACACATGGAGAAAAATTAATTTATGTGGAATCTCTATATGGACGTATATTTTCATTCAGGATTAGCCTCCACATCGAAGGAAAGAAAATCAAACGACAATCAATCTCAGCACCTCCGATGTAGGAAGACGAAAATCAAGAGATAAAGTGTACAATTTCACTTGAACTAGAAATGTTATTCACTCTTTTATCTTGCAATAAATATTGTATTTGATAAGATGTTGTTAGTAGCCGGGGCACAAAAGAAAGAGAAAGATTAGTGTGAGTTTTTGAAATTAGAGGTTGTAGTCATTAGAGGATATGTGAAGTTATCCAGATCGGGAGATATCAACTCAAGTTGTACAATCCAGTTCATTCAAATCTCTAAAGAAAATCGTTATAAACCAAAGGAACTGGATTAGGCATCAAATCGATGATCTGAACCAATATAAAACTTTATATCCCATTTTATCTTTTAATCATTCAATCTATTCTCATATTAACTAACTTGCAGGTAAGTCGATTAACGCTTAGTAACAATCGACTATAGATTTATGAAAATATTTCAATTCACCCCTACTCTTGAGTTTCACATTTGAAACAACTGGGACGGAGCCATCCTTTTCCTAGGGTTGTCTTCACCGAAAAATTACATTGTATATAGAAATCAAATTTTGATTTAATAAATATATATACAAGTATTGAAACCTTTTAACACAAGTTGAAGATGTAAAGCCCGTTTGGATTGACTTAAAAAAAAAAAAATTAAATTAAAAATAAAAAGTCAAACTGAAATGACTTCTAAGTCAAAAAATAAAAAGTAGGGAGAAACCTACTTTTGGTTTCTGACTTAGTTTAAGACATTTTTTACCTTGTCAAACACTTCGTATCATATTTTATGTCATTTTTGACTTATTTTAAGTTATTTTTTATATTTGTCAAACACTTCCAGAAATCAAAAACTGACTTAAAAGTAAGTTTGATCAACTTTTAAGCCAGTCCAAACACCGTCTTAGTCTAATGGTTAAGGGGTTGTAAAACTTTTGTTAGGTCACGTGTTCTCAAACCTTATTAGCCTCATAAAAAAAATTTACGACAACCATTACATCCCCTTAATGAAAATTTTGGCTTCATAATTATTTTTTTACTACAACCATTACATCCTCTTAATTGAGAATTTTGGCTCCACTCCGAGACAACATAACTAATGCATGGACTAACAAGTAACAAACCCTACCAAACATGATGGAAATGATTGTCCAAGTCAAATACATTACAACCATTTTCTCAAATAATTAAGAGGCATTAATGATATACAAAAATGTATAGTGTATTCATTATATCCACTTGCTCTCTGCATTCTGATGACTGTTATTAGTGGGTAGAGTTATACCTTTTAAGGGGTTGTGAAAATTCGCAATTAGTATATTTTCTTAGTAATTCAAGTCAACCAACAAAAAATGATTCATATATAATTAGAGTCTTCTACCTTACTGTAAGGATAAGATCACTATATATCATATTCTTTCTAAATTCTATTATGAAATCACATTGAATATGCCATTATTGTATCCATGACCGTTAATGCTTAGCAATTAGCACTATATGACGATTTATGTACAAAACTCTTAATATGAGTTGAGAAATTATGAAGCATGATTGATTAATTACCTAAACTTTCGATGCTGGTGGGGTTTGACTTCCCACCCGCCATCAACGCAATTTCTTAATAGGACCATTGAACCTAAGCATTAGAGGTCAAAATTAGACCTGCTTTGGATCTACCAAGTCGATTGAAAAGAAAAAACTAATTCACCGTTCGATATTCTTTTATATCATTTGAACTCTAAGTATAGAATTACACGTGCAAGTTTTCCTACTTGTGGCTCGTCCGTGCTTTCCGAAGCGCTGCCTGTGACTCAGCATGGGAGAAGGGGGCGGAACTGCACACTTTTGTGTTCAAAGTATTGTCTGAGTGAGTGGGCAGCCTCTACCAAACAAAGTTTTCTTGAAGAGGCAGGGTTGGTTCCTTTTCGTTTTACTATTTGATTGAAAAATGTGAATAATATATAATCCCTAACAGCTTGTTTGGATGGGTGTTACTATTGTATTATTAATGTCTTTTACTCTTTTTGATTGTTATTTATATAATATCTGAAATCTCGAAATTAGTGTTATAATGTTGAATCTGAGGAAATGTCTTTGAAATTACCTTTTTTTTTAAAGAAAAGTTATATATAAATTTATAATTACCTCTATAAGAAAGATGCTACTCATACAGTTGGAAAGGGGGATTTTTAGTAACAATATTGAAACCAATTAGGTGCAATGAAACTTGTGTGTTTGGTAGAGGGTGTATCAATTATGATTGTATCAAAGCCACAAGTCAGAGAAAGGCATACAAAAATGTCTAAAGTATTAGGTAGACAGTTAGCACCAAACTAACGACTACTACTATTATTAGTATATATAATTATATATATCACAAGTGAAAACTTCAAACTAACTACTACTACTAGCTAGTATTATTTTTTTCTAGTAAGTTAAGTTGTTGCTTTTGGACTAAATGATACATGTACAACATCCCTCGATATAAATAGGGATAACAATATCCATCATTTCATAAACTTGTGTTTTTCTCTTTCCAAATTTCCCTTTATATAAGTTGGTTTAATTAATTAACTAGACGTTATATACAATGGCTTTTGCAGCAATTTTCCTATTTGTTCTTTTTGTTTCTCCGATAATGTGTTATGGCAAGGATCACATTGTTGGAGGCAGCGATGGGTGGAGTCAATCTGGAGATTATTCCACTTGGGCATCTGCTCAAACTTTCAGTGTTGGAGACAACCTTGGTAACTTAATTTGCCTATCTTTCTTTATTTTCCCTTCACAAGGAATTACAATAATTTTTCATATGTTCATTTAACTGATAGTTATTATCTCGAAAAGTTGGAAGCAAAAAGAAAGGTGATTTTATGAGATAATAATTATTATTAGATGAGTGACTGTATGAGAAATTTTGTTAAAGAATGGAAAAAAGTCTCATATTAGTGATTAATTAGACGAGTGATATCCTTATAGGTCTTGGACAATCCTCCTGCATTTCAACTAGATTTTGGTGTGTGAACCTAATTTTACAAAATCAACTAAATTTTTCTAGGTTCTAGGAGTAGATAATAATTAGATGGCTACATGTGGTGATTTCCCAATCGATTTGCGATGCATTATTGAAAATATTATGTATATGGTTGACTTGTTAGAGTTTTATGACTTCAATAAATCACATCTTATTCTAGGTTCAACCGACTAGATATTAAAACCATATACTATTATGTTTGTACAGTCAGTATACCTTTTATGTTATTTTTATTTATTATTGGAGATACATAAAATTATTTCATTTATTTTAATCGAGAATTATGTCTTTGCTTTTCACTAATTGCCATAAAAGTTTTAAATATTCTAAGTAAACTAACAAAGAAGCTCAGATGCGCAGTGGTAATTGGCAATGATACAGGTACATTGGTCACTCGAATACAATTCATCAAAAAAATTTAGTGTGTATAAACTTTTAAGCTTCCTTGCTTGCTAAAGCCTTGTCTGACATACTTGTTTCTCTTTATTTTGGAGAAATTGTAGAATGGGATTTTCATGATGCATGTGATTGATATAATACTAATAAGTAAATTAAAATAGTACCGGAAAAGAAACTTTATATGAATATGTTTTGGCAGTGTTTAACTATGGTGGAAGTCATGGAGTGAACGTAGTAAGTAAAGATGACTATGAGAATTGCAACACTGGAAATGCTCTCTTAACTTACACTGGTGGACAAAATAGCATACCCCTTTCAAGTTCAGGTGACATGTACTTTGTTTGTCCTACACTTAATCACTGTGACACTGGAATGAAATTGGCTATTAAAGTTGAAGGAAGTACCTCACCAGCAACTCCCTCTGCCACAAAGTCTATGCAACCTAATGCTGCATCTATCACATTTGGCAGTATGACCACAATGGTTTTTGAATTTGCACTTGTCTTTGTATATATGGGCTAGGAGAGAGGCAGTGCTATATATGAATCTATTTCATTTGTGTATATATCCTCTGTTATTTGTTCATGAGGGGTAAAACTCCTATATTGTGTTGCCTAATTAATGAATTTACGCATCTTAGTAATATTTCGAGAAACTGGCTTCTAATGTGTGAATGCATGAAACTTGAATTCCATTTATGTGACCATGGATTCAAAACTGGGACATGACCTTTATTCAAAGCAAAAGAAAGAGAAGTTTACATGGGTGGTGGATTAGTCCATCTTCTCTTCATCTCTGACTTCGATCGAACCTCTTTCAGTTTGCCATCTGCTTCATAATCTCTTTCCATAACAAGGTTCACTCCTTCATCTGAATACCACCCAACTCCTATACATAGAGTCCCATCCTTGTTCACATCAACATAACTCGTAACGCCTCCTGGTAGCCAAAGAACTGTTGCATCCTGCATGTCTAACAATTCTTCTTCTCCAAAGTACACTGGATTTTCTGGGAGGCTTCTCTTCTTCAGGTTTTCCGTGCATAGGTAAACATACGGCATGCCCTGAGTTGTTTCCGTTGTGTTGTCCTCACCGTAGATAGGTGTTGCACTCATCTCAAACACTTTCCAAGATCCAGTCAGCTCTGATGGTTGGACTCTTCGTCTTTGAGAAAAGGGCTTCACGTCCAGCTCCATGTCACTATTATTCTCAAAAGAAATGATTAGAAGATTTAATACTTCCTCCATTTCATTTTATATGGTCGTACTTGACTAAATATGAAGTTCAAAAGGGACTTTTAATACATACCAAAAGTACTTTTACAACTTATGGTCATGACATTTCTGTGAGAATAAGAGCTTCTTTTTTTAAAGAAGAGCCATTTTATATTGGTTATAACAGCATGTTCTTAAGGGTGATGTGAAAAGTTTAAAGATAAAAAGCTTCTAAATATGAAAAGGAGTCTTTCTTTTTTAAAGAGACTAAAAGACAAGAACGTCATATAAAATGGAACACAGAGGGAGTAGTAGTACTGTCATGCAGAACAGAATGCAAAATACAGGCATTATAAGTATCCATTACATTAAAATATGTTTCAAACTGAAAGGATGTTGTTACATAATGAGGTGAGAGATAATTAATGGTCCAGTATCCTCCTTCAGTCCGGAAAAATCTCTACCTATTCTAACTCCACAAATGGTGGTCAGTAACCAAATGTTGCAGTGGAGTTGGGGGCTGAGAGGGATGTTTGGAGGAAGAAGGAGAAAGAGGGGGTTAGGATTTATTTTGTGAGGTGTCTTTCTTTTTTTCTTTATTGACATGTATTTATCTTATTGGTCTGATTTGCAACATACGAAGCAATTGATCTCACACGCCTGAACTTACTAACATATGTTGAGTGTGGTGCCCAATAGGCACATTTTTGTTGAGGTTGGAGTGTTCAATAGGCATATAAGGTGTTAGAATGAGGATGGGAACAAACTTTGAGGGGCCACCTATATATTTGGCCAACTTACAACAATAGATTTTGGCCCACGCCAGACATTATATTGAAGGATTACAGAAGTAAACAAATTAACATTTCAGAATTACAACCTATAGCAATCAAATATAAGATACTGATACCTTTGGTCAGCTAGATTAGCAGTACTAACCCACTGCTCTTCATACATAGCAACCCTCAATATTTGGATGTCTGAACCCCCATTACTAAACTCTATTGTGTGCACCATGCGGAGTCTCTTGTGACAACCTTTTACCAGACACTGTAAAGGAAAATAAGGGAAGAGAAATTAACTTTCCTTCCAAGGGATGTATAAACCAAACATTACACTAGGATAATGTTGTTAGTGGAAACTGATAAGATAGGAGATATTTTACATAGCAACGCTTAAGAAGGGAAACTGATAAGTAGGATTGCTTTTGACATCTCTCTCAAAGAAAAATTTAAAACAGAACACTAGGTACAAAATGGTGCTAGTGTTGCTTCCAAGTGTCATTTTAAATTAAGGGAACAAACGAGCTCACTCAACTAGTAAAAAAAAAAGGTCATGAAAAATAGCTGTTGTTTAAAGCACTGTTTAGGTCACTCACATTGACTTCAAGAACACAGATTGAATGCATCTCCCTCACCCCACCCCCAAACACCCGCAAGAAGAAGAGAGTGAGTTGAGATATTCCAAGAGTTAATTAAAATTAAAAGAGCACTAAAGGAAATGGGGACATTCATCAAATCCTAGAAGAAGCTAAAGAGGAGATTTGAAGTTGATAGACTATATGGATATAAGAGCTAGTTATATTGTCGAGATTGAACTTCGAGACTGAATGGAAGCAAGTAATTGGTTATTGAGTGCATATAGTGATAACAAAAGGTCCCGTCTTTGGAAAGCCACTACTAGGTGAAGAAGGAAGTCAACAAAGCTAACAGTTGGCTCTCATGCCTTTCAGCAAGTGTTGCCAAACAAAAAGTACCACAAGAACAACACACCCAGTGTAATTCCACAAGTAAAGCATGGGGAGGATAGAGTGTATGCAAACCTTACCCCTACATCAGGAGGTAGAGAGGTTGTTTTAGATAGACCCTCAGCTCAAGGAAAAGCAGAACAAAGCAGTCCAGTAAAACAAAATAAAGGAAATGAAAGAAGTCATGGCAAAATACTACATAAAGCATGATAAAGCAATTTGAAGAAAATGAACAATAACTACCACAAAATAATACGAAAATTGAAGTGCACAACACACATATAATAACATAAATCGAAGGACAAGAAACACAAGAGGAATTTAAAGACTAAAGCATAGGTTTTCAATAAAGATACTGAATGGAAAAAATAACAGAAGCATGTAATGCAAGAAAAAATAACCTTAAACACAAGCAACAATTATCCGAACAAATAATTGAAATAATTACCATTACATAAAGTAGATTAAGTAAAATCATGGTAATAAATATTTAACCATTCCAAAGTTCTGACTAGATGCAAAGAAGCATGTTTAAGTTCCTTTTGATACAAAATTTCTAACTTCCTATTTGTTATCACCAAATATTCGTTCTTAACAATCAGCCTACAAGTTACAACTGGTATATCACTTTCAACAATGTTTATTGGTTTTACTCTCCTTAAGACAAAGAACATGGACAATGAGACACATGACATGAGGCCTCGTGTGCTCCAAAGCGCCACCTAAACAAGGTGAAACGCTTAAACTGGACTTCACCTAGATTCAAGTTTCAACAGTTAAACACATATTAAACGAGCCTTTAACAAGATTGTTTTATGTCATTTGTGCACACAAATAAAAACATCTCTCGAACCTAGGTCCTATTCCCAAAACCATGATACTACAAAACAACAAATACTTTTTTTTGGGGAAAAGATTAAAGTTTATTTACATGATGGGGTAAAAACTAGTATGCAAATTGCATATAGATCTATAAATTCTTTTAAAAATAAGGCATTATTTGCTGTAAAGAGCATCCAGCCATCAGAATGGCTCGCAATGTTGTTTTCCAAATAAAACTTTTCTTTAGTGCCCTAACTTATACCTATTTTGAGGAATGATAAAAATTCCTTTCTACCATTTTGTCAGCCTACTATAGAAAGAAATTCACTATAAAACACACCATCTTTCAGCGTTTCCAATTTCTGGTATCCATGGGTTTGTATAACAATCTAATCAAACAATTGAACTCTCTTATGTTCCTGCAAATTCTTTTGATTCTGAGGTTCCATAGGATCCATCTTATCTGCACTCTACATTATTTCTGCTTCCAAAACATATTCTTGTTCCATTACCGGCTTTAAATGTAACATTCATGGCGAGCCTTCCACCGTTCCACAATACTATAGTATATGATACGGCTACGGGCTATGTTATCAGATTTTTCCTGTAGTTTGTCATCTACACATTCTACATGCACCCCAAATTTATCAATGATAACCCTCCTCTAGAGGGCACGGCCATTTACATCAAACCTCCAGATCTATTCCCAAAGAGAGCTCCGTTGAAAAATCCTTAGTTCCATCCTCAAAAATCCCCACCTTCATCATAGATGTTATGGTTCAATTTGATTAAGTGGTAATTTTTCACCCCTCCACTAGCATCCCATAAAAATTATATCAGCAATTTTTAATTGTGCAACAAGGGCATATATAGAGGGTCCTCTTAATTAATGCAGCATACTTTCTTTTGATAAACATTGCTTTGCAATCTTGTTGACCTCTTATCAACATTTGCAATTATAGGTACCACATAGTCCTTTATGAGATATACCAAAAGTTCAAAGTAACTTATCAAACTCATCCCATACTACTAAAAATCTTTGTCAGCCGCTCTGTGTAATCTACTACTTAACCAATTGGAATGATTTTACACATCTTCCTTTTTATGGGTAAAGCATAACATTTTATACATAGAACCAACATAAAGAAAGTACTGGGAAAGAGTTATAACCAAAAACTACGAACATTACAAGTCGTGTAATGAGCTAAAAAGTCAACAATGACCGAACTATCATCTACATCTGATGTAGTCATGTTGCACAAAAGCCTAAGCAAAAATATCCAATGGTTATTGATGTTAAGCATAGTATCCTCCCTATTCTCAAAAATTCTATTTTTCCATTCCTTTTACATGACCCACCAAATAGCAAGCAAGATGGTGTTCCAGAGAGAGCATAGGTGAATCCTTTCTCTGCCATCCTTGAAGAAGTTGAAGGCTGGAGCAAGGAATGCACCTGATCCAATTACCGGTAATCGAAAGGATAATATCAACTAGGAGGATGAACCTCGAAGAAGAAGATAGCTATATCAGGGAAATTCCGAGATAGAAGCTAAGAAGAACAGAGTAAAAGAGAGAAGAGAAGAATTATCATATATCATTCAATGATTTACAATTGTATTACATCTCTATTAATAGAACTGAATTGGAATCTAATGCTACAGCTAACAAAATAACTAAATAACTGCTTCTAACAAACCCTAATAACAGTGAACAGTAATAACTGTTTTGGTGACTAATGAACAGTTCTAACTACTTTTTAACATTTCTAATTATCTAAAGCATTGTATCAATACCCCCAATGGAAACCACCCTTGTCCTCAAGGGTGAAATGCAGGAAATCTGTGTTGCAGCTCACATAGGAACTCCCAAGTAGCCTGAGAAGCATCCAAGCCAGACCATTGAACCAAGACTTGACACACAGCCTTATTACCCTTCTTGACCATCCTTCTCTCCAATACCGACTCAGGAATGGGACAATAAGGGCTTGAAAGATGTAATACGGGGGGATGATTAATGACTGTAGGAACCTCATAACACTTTTTCAGCTGGGAGACATGAAACACAGGATGAATAAGGACATCAACAGGTAAAAGCAACTTGTAAGCTACTGCACCAACTCTATAAAGGACCAAGTAAGGACCAAAATACTTTGCAGCAAGCTTGTTGAAAGGCCTAGAAGCCACTGAAATCTGCCTGTAAGGTTACAACTTCAAGTAAACCCAATCTCCCTCCATAAATTGCCTATCAGACCTGTGTTTGTTAGCTTTATCCCTCATGCTTTGTTGTGCTCTAGTTAAATGGAGCTTGAGCAGTGCTATCACAGCCTCTCTAGCTACCAGAGATCTATCAACCATGTCATTAGAAGACTCACCAGCCAAGTACGGCACGTGTATTGGTGGTTTTTGACCATATAGAACTTCATAAGGTGTACATTTTAAGGTAGAGTGGTATGTAGTGTTGTACCACCATTCAGCAAGAGGTAGTTGAGTAGCCCAAGTGTGAGGACTATCAGAACAAAAACATCTCAAATATGTCTCCAAGGTTCTCTTAAGAACCTCTGTTTGACCATCAGTTTGGGGATGGTATGCTGTAGATTTATGTAGTAAGACCCCCTGCAATGTTAATAACTCTTGCCAAAAAGAACTCAAGAAAATGGGATCTCTGTCACTTACTATAGAAGCTGGCATACCATGCAATCTGAAAACATTGTCCAGAAAACACTGAGCTACAGCTTCAGCAGTGTAAGGATGTGCAATAGCAATGCAGTGACCAGACTTACTGAATCTGTCCACCACTACTAAAATGACATCCTTCCCTTTTGACTTAGGAAGACCTTCAATGAAATCTAGACTAATATCAACCCATACACCATCAGGAACAGGTAATGGTTGAAGTAGTCTAGGGTAAGCTGTTGTATCATACTTATGCCTTTGACAAATATTACATTTCTGAATAAAATTCCTAATGTCAGCTGCTAATGACTTCCAGTAGAAGAGGGATTGTAACCTCTTAATAGTTGCATCCATACCTGCATGACCACCTTGTGGTGTTGAATGCCACAACTGAATAATGGTTTGTCTTAACTGCAAATCAGACCCTACAACTAGCCTGCCTTTCCACCTTAGTTGAGAACCAATCCAGGTATAGAATTTATAAGGCTTTGCTTGTAACTTAAGAATAACAGCTTGCAACTCAGCATCAGATGTCCATGTTAGGCTAATTTTCTCCAAAAGTGTATCATTAGGAGTTAAGAGTGAAACAGCCAACAACTCAGCACTTTGATTTCTTGACAAGGCATCAGCAGCCTTATTGTCAGTCCCTTTCTTGAACTCAATAGTAAAATCGAAGGCCATCAATTTAGAAATACCAACCTGAAAATCAGTATGAATACTTTGTTCCAGGAGGTGTTTTAGTGCCTTTTGATCAGTTCTCACAATGAAATGTCTTCCTAATAGGTAATGAGACCACTTAGTAACTGCAA